CGGCCGCAGCCCGGGCTTGAGCCGCGGGGAGGTGGGTCCCCGCGCTGCGGCGCCGGGGCAGCCCCAGGGCCCTCTCCGAGGCCTGCGGCGCGGCTCCTCGGGAGGAGGTGGTGGCTGTGGCGTCTGGAACCGAGACCTTGGCCAGACAGAGCCCCGCGGTGGACGCAGGGCGGAGGCCGAGCCCCGCCAGGAGTCTTCGCCGAGCCGGAGGGTGGCGCATCTGGCGCTCCGGTGCCAGCGGCAGCCTGGGGTCTTGAGCTGTTGGAGAAGCGCTAGCCCGTCTGGAGGGCGACCCCTGCGTCCGGGAGCCCAGCCTCGGCCGGCGGCAGGCGCAGCCCAGGTCCTCTCGGACAGCCAGTCCCGCGCGCGTCGGTCTGCGGCTCCAGGCATCCCGTAAGCTGCAGCACCGAGGGGCGGGCGGGTAGCTGGAGCGCACAGCCAAGCCCTCTGCGCCCCGGTCATCTCCCCAGACGCAGCCTTGCAGGGACCGGGGCTTCAGAGCTCCCCGACCCCACCGCCAGGTCAGACCGCGAGCCCCACCCTAAAGACAGGGCGCAGCCGGGAGCCGGGAGCGGGAGCGGGGGCCGCGCTCCGGACGCCGTGCCTTGGGCGCCGTCCTGGTGGCGGGGAGCGCGCCGCAGAGAGGACATGAGATCGGAGAAATCCCTTACTCTGGCGGCTCCGGGGGACGTCCGTGGGCCGGAGGGGGAGCAGCAGGATGCGGGAGACTTCCCGGAGGCCGGCGGAGGCGGGGGCTGCTGCAGCAGCGAGCGGCTGGTCATCAACATCTCCGGGCTGCGCTTCGAGACGCAGCTGCGCACCCTGTCGCTGTTCCCCGACACGCTGCTCGGAGACCCGGGCCGCCGAGTCCGCTTCTTCGACCCCCTGCGGAACGAGTACTTCTTCGACCGCAACCGGCCCAGCTTCGACGCCATCCTCTACTACTACCAGTCGGGGGGCCGCCTGCGCAGGCCGGTCAACGTGCCCCTGGACATCTTCCTGGAGGAGATCCGCTTCTACCAGCTGGGCGACGAGGCCTTGGCGGCCTTCCGGGAGGACGAGGGTTGCCTGCCCGAAGGTGGTGAGGACGAGAAGCCGCTGCCTTCCCAGCCCTTCCAGCGCCAGGTCTGGTTGCTCTTCGAGTACCCCGAGAGCTCGGGACCCGCCCGGGGCATCGCCATCGTCTCGGTGCTGGTCATCCTCATCTCCATCGTCATCTTTTGCCTGGAGACCCTGCCCCAGTTCCGTGCAGATGGCCGAGGTGGAAGCAACGGGGGTGGAGTGGGCCGGGTCGCCCCAGTCTCCAGGGGCAGTCAGGAGCAGGAGGAGGATGGAGACGACTCCTATACATTTCATCCTGCCTTCAGCCCCGGGGGAATGGGAGCGGGGGGCTCAGCCTCCCCCAGTACTCTTGGGGGCTCCTTCTTCACAGACCCCTTCTTTCTGGTGGAGACGCTGTGCATCGTTTGGTTCACTTTTGAGCTCCTGGTGCGCTTCTCCGCCTGCCCCAGCAAGCCAGCTTTCTTCCGCAACATCATGAACATCATTGACCTGGTGGCCATCTTCCCCTACTTCATCACCCTGGGCACTGAGCTGGTGCAGCAACAGGAGCAGCAGACCGCAAGTGGAGGGGGTGGCCAGAATGGGCAGCAGGCCATGTCCCTGGCCATCCTCAGAGTGATCCGCCTGGTCCGGGTGTTCCGCATCTTCAAGCTCTCCCGCCACTCCAAGGGGCTGCAGATCCTGGGCAAGACCTTGCAGGCCTCCATGCGGGAGCTGGGGCTGCTCATCTTTTTCCTCTTCATCGGAGTCATCCTCTTCTCCAGCGCCGTCTACTTCGCAGAGGCTGACGACGATGACTCACTCTTTCCCAGCATTCCGGATGCCTTCTGGTGGGCGGTGGTTACAATGACCACAGTAGGTTATGGGGACATGTATCCCATGACCGTGGGGGGCAAGATCGTGGGCTCGCTGTGTGCCATCGCTGGGGTCCTCACCATTGCCCTGCCCGTGCCCGTCATCGTCTCCAACTTCAACTACTTCTACCACCGGGAGACGGAGCAGGAGGAGCAGGGCCAGTATACTCACGTTACCTGTGGGCAGCCTACACCGGACCTGAAGGCGACCGACAATGGACTTGGCAAGCCTGACTTCTCCGAGGCCACCCGGGAACGGAGACCCAGCTACCTTCCCACTCCCCACCGGGCCTATGCAGAAAAGAGGATGCTCACCGAGGTCTGACCTATGCGGGCAGGGCCTGCAGGAGAAGGGGAGCACTGAGCAGACAATCTTGGGCCTCCTTCTCCTTCTTACTCCTCTCACCCAGCTCCAGCTGACGTCTTGACTCCCTCCTCTACACCCACTACATGGTATCCAGGACCAAGTACCTAGACTGTCAACCTTGTTGCTCGACCCCTGCAGCATTCAAGGTTTATCCATCTAAGGGACATTTATGAAATTCCAACGGTGCCACCCAGTCATTAACATCATCTCTCACATGGATGAGAAATACATGGCTGTTTGATCTTCCCTTAAGATTCTGATTTTTCTTATCTGGGACTTGCAATATCTCTAGGCACAGCAATGTCAACAGGATAGAAACCAGCCACACCTGGGTCCTGTCTTTCTCCTTAGTGTCCTTTGTTTTGGGGCATGCACCTGCTGTAGCTTCTGGATACTTGGTAACTGGCAGAAGCTGGAGGACAGAAACAGCACTCAACTTGCTGTTTTATTCCAGTCCCCGTAATACCTGCTGGTCATCTTGCAGAGGACCCTTGGGAGAGCCTTTAGTTGCATAGCCTCAAAATGCTATTTATTTCTAATCCTGGATGGAATTAGAGAAAATACAATTAAACTTGACCATTTGGAGGACAAAAGGGTCAGTCCTGGACCAAAAGGGCCAATGGATTCTTCCAGGTGTGTTCCAGCAGAAGACACTGGACTGTGGTCTACATTTAGTCCTCCCCACTCTGATCCCTGACTCTTGTCTAGCTTCCAGGAGGGTCCCTTCTCAGAGCCAAATACTCTTTTTATGCAAGTGCCTTCCTGTGCAGAGGAATTGGAAAAAGGTAATCACAGAGCCAGGAGAAATGGCTGAATAGGATCAAGCAACTGGCTTGATCACAAATCTGTAACAAGGTGCCACTTAAACAGATATTGTCATCCTGGAGGGGCAGAGGGATCTTGTTGCAGACAGCAGAGTTTTCTCCTCATTCCCCTACACCGCCCAGCCCTCCACTCTTCTTCCTGGGAATTTGATTTGGGATTGCAGTTGAAGGCTTTCTAAAGCAAACTCCGGCTTAAATGCGCAGACAGGTAAAAGCACACATTGGATGCCAGCATGGGTTCCTTCCCATTTTATGGGCAATGGAATATGTGGCTTAGAGTAAGGAACAAGCGTTATCTTTTGCTGACAGCCTCTAGAGGGTTTTTTTTTGCTGAGTCGGCCAAACATTTGCCTGCTCTGCCCCTCGGAGCTGCGTCCGACCTGCTCTAGCTGGTAAGGTAACGTGGTGGGGTGCCCACCTGGACTAAGCCATCTTCTTCTATTAGGACACTACTGCCATCCACCCCACCAGCCCGCTCCCCCTCATTTGTCTCCCAGTAACATTTCTGTTTGTTTCTTGCCTTTGATAAACTGTGATATACTGTTCTGAGCTCTTCTGGGTGCAGTTCTGAAACTGGAAGGACTGTTAACATGTTTTTAGTTTTATATCTACGCTTTAAGACTCTTTGATGAGAATTTTTTTTTTAAATCATCCTCTCGAAGAGCAACTTACGAGGGACAGCCTTTTGAGGGTTTGCTTGAGAGGTGGTGTGGCTCCTGTGGGTGCCAGATCTAAATCTGGATTTTGCCACAGTTTTACAGGGTAACTTTGGCGCCACGGTCCCTCTTTGTGCCTCAGTTTCCTCACCCATTAAATGGGAACATTAATGTCTTCCCCTCCCTACCTCATGGGGAATGTCAGTGAACTCGTTTGGGAAGCTAGGGATTATGCTATGCAAATGTGTGAATTTTAGTAACAGATTTGATTTTTAGTTCATTCCTCTGTCTCCCCATCTCCCATAGGCATAGGCCTTCCCCATATCTCCTGCCTTAGATGCAAATCCCAATAATAGGTTATTAGGGGCCATTAGTTTCCTAAATCCCTTCTTGGCCTCTTGGACTGGGTCCTAGTCTTTCTTCTTACCCTTCAGAAAGGAGGATGCTCTTTAGATAGGTTTAGTGGGGTTCTTCCAGGGCCAGAGGTCACCTTGACTGGGAGCTTGGCTTCTCCAAACCTGAAATAGAGTAGGAAACAGAGGTGTTCATATTCAAAAATCTGCACTGAGGCCAGAAAGTGTTAGTTTTCCAAATCTTTTCAGTTACTCCTGGTTATTTGGGGAAAAAGAGAAGGCCCCACTCCAGAGGCAGAAGGGATGCTGGCGGCCGAGGGTAGGTGTGGGGACGTGTACGCACGTCTCTCTCTCTATGACTGTGTGACCATCCTCATCACCTTCCCGAGAAAGCATTTCCTGTTTACATCAGAGCACGCCTGAAAGTAAAGGGTTTGTGGTGAGCTGGGATCTCCAGGGACTCTGGTTGCCGTAGCAACCTTCCAGACTGTTCTATCTTCTGATTTGGGTATCAAGAGACAACAAGAGACTACATATTCCCAGCTTCTGAGATGGGCACCCCTTCCACACATTGGTTTGGGGGCTGCCGGTGCCAGGACAGGACGGGAAAATGTGGAGGAAGCAGGTCCCCAGAACTTTCTCTCTGGACCTTTCTTCATGGTTTCTCCACCCTGTCACTGAAGCTGCCTCATCTTAACCTTGATTCTTAAGAAATCTGAGTGCTAAGCAACTGCCCAGTTAAACCAATGGCAACGTTATGTGTTTCAAAATGACAAGGGGAGCNCTTGGCCTCTTGGACTGGGTCCTAGTCTTTCTTCTTACCCTTCAGAAAGGAGGATGCTCTTTAGATAGGTTTAGTGGGGTTCTTCCAGGGCCAGAGGTCACCTTGACTGGGAGCTTGGCTTCTCCAAACCTGAAATAGAGTAGGAAACAGAGGTGTTCATATTCAAAAATCTGCACTGAGGCCAGAAAGTGTTAGTTTTCCAAATCTTTTCAGTTACTCCTGGTTATTTGGGGAAAAAGAGAAGGCCCCACTCCAGAGGCAGAAGGGATGCTGGCGGCCGAGGGTAGGTGTGGGGACGTGTACGCACGTCTCTCTCTCTATGACTGTGTGACCATCCTCATCACCTTCCCGAGATTCCAAATCTTTTCAGTTACTCCTGGTTATTTGGGGAAAAAGAGAAGGCCCCACTCCAGAGGTAGAAGGGATGCTGGCGGCCGAGGGTAGGTGTGGGGACGTGTACGCACGTCTCTCTCTCTATGACTGTGTGACCATCCTCATCACCTTCCAGAGGAAGCATTTCCTGTTTACATCAGAGCACGCCTGAAAGTAAAGGGTTTGTGGTGAGCTGGGATCTCCAGGGACTCTGGTTGCCGTAGCAACCTTCCAGACTGTTCTATCTTCTGATTTGGGTATCAAGAGACAACAAGAGACTACATATTCCCAGCTTCTGAGATGGGCACCCCTTCCACACATTGGTTTGGGGGCTGCTGGTGCCAGGACAGGACGGGAAAATGTGGAGGAAGTAGGTCCCCAGAACTTTCTCTCTGGACCTTTCTTCATGGTTTCTCCACCCTGTCACTGAAGCTGCCTCATCTTAACCTTGATTCTTAAGAAATCTGAGTGCTAAGCAACTGCCCAGTTAAACCAATGGCAACGTTATGTGTTTCAAAATGACAAGGGGAGCCCCTGGAAAGGATTCCTTGCTCCTCAAGCGGCAGCCAGGCTGGGCCTTGCTGAGAGTAACCATGGTCTTAGGTCTCATAGAGTTTTCATCTCCTCAGAGGATGCTCTTCCCAGCTCTGAGAGAGACAGAGAGAAACGAAACTCCTTCCTCCTAGGAAACTGTCCAGCTCTTGGGAGGATCGCAGAGGCTGTTCTCCTTAAGACGTTGAAGGAAAACCGAGAGGCTATGGCCGGACCTAGTTTCTGCAAAGGATTTTGTCAAGTGATCCCTCTCTGACCCTGTGCCTCTGTTTGGATTTTGTGCCCCGAGCACCAAGAGAATATGCACTCTGTGCTGCCTGGACAGCTGGGGTGGCCATTCACAGCTGCCAGGAAAGGTGGGGTCCGAGCCATCCTTACACCTGATTCAAGCTGGCAGGCGCTCCCAAAGGACTTCCTGGGACTGTCAGCCTCAGCCTGAGACGTGGGCCACGCCTCCTGCCTGAGCATCCCCGAGGAGAGGTGGGGACAGCTGGCGGCTTTGCATCTGAGGTAGGTTCTGCTGAAGGGGGATTTCCTTCCTGGCTTGGTCCTTCAGGCAGAACGAGAACTCAGGGTGGGGGAGAGAGAGTGGGAGCGTGTGCACTGGGGAGAAGGTGGTTCGGTCCCTTCCTCAATGGCCACCTTGCACTTTTTCTGTGTATTTTTCTGTGACTCCGTTGACTTCGGTTTCCTTTCTTCTCGGTTCTGTCCTCTCCATGTTCTCTCCCCCTTCCTTATCACCTCTTTCCCCCCACATTTTTTCCTTTCCTTTTTCTCTTCCTTCTCACTTTCTCTGCTGTTTTTTCCTTCTCTGGTTTCCTGCCTTCTGCTTCTTTACCCCCCTCTGTTGTTTTAGCCTCTTCTTCTTTCTGTGTGTATCTTTCTATCTTTCTCCTTCCCTCCACCTTTTTAGTGGCTGGGAGCATGTACAGTGTGTCTGTGAAGGTCACTTGTTAAACTCTGGGGCCAGCTGTGATCCAGAATATTTGCTAAGAAGGTCAGTCTCCAGCTGGAGGTATTCCCTTTTTTGTGACATCTCAGTATAACATCCTTTCCTACTATGGCCACCTCTGTGGGGAACGTCCTGAACTTACAGAGCAAGAGGAGACTGCTAAAGGACTTAGAAAAATGTCTCCCAGAAATTTCCTGAACCTGCAAGGATAAAAAGAAGACGGTGGAGCACGAGAGAGACAGAATGAACCTGACAAATCTCAGATAAACACTGTGCAGTATAGCACTGGGACACGTCCACCTCAGGGCTTTCCACCCTTAAAGAGGCTTGCAGAGAGGTTAAAGACAAAGGAACAGTAGAAATTGTAAAATAAACAAAGAAAACAGGACTTAGGAGGAAGGCATAAAATTGGAGTTAGCCTGGAAAAAGCCTTAACTCAGGGGTGGCCTTATAACAGCCCTTAATTCATTTGCAGGTTTTCTTAGCACCCGGCTATCTCTCTTGTGCACTACAGGCAGAACAAAAGGAAAGGACATAAATCCCAGTGGTGCAAGGTGCAGGGGACACTCCTTGACAAGGTGGATTAAGATTCACCAGCCAGTTCATAGGAGAGTTTCTGTACTCTCCTTGCTGGAGGTCATAGAGCATAGAGTAAGTCCCACCTGCATCAGGACAGCCCCCTGGGGTTGAAGATTGTGCCCTCAAAGCTGGCACCACAGAACTTCTGGGAGGTGATGGAAATGTTCTCAAACAGGATTGTGGTGATAGTCGTACAGCTCTAAAAACTAACCTAAAAACTCACTGAATTGTGAAAAAACAATCAACATGAATCTAATAATCTGGAGGCTTTGTATCTGGGCTGGAAGAATGGTTTGGCTTTATAAATCTAGAAGTTTAGCGTTTCTAAAGACGGACAAGACTCAGTATCTGGAATGAAATGACAGTTGTTTTCTTCTGCCACATGGGGACACTTTAGAGCTTTCATGCAGTTGCTTCTCGCTATTTGCATACAATATACCAAGAATTGGTTTGTGTGCTGTGTGTGTGTTTAATTTTGACAATCAAATTATTGTGCGATTAACATGCTATTTTTTTTTTTTGCTCTAAAGATATTTCAAGCCATATTTTGGTAAGTGCAGAGTGTAATTAGCATGTATTGAACTATGATAAATATATTGGACATTATTTATTATATAGGACCAGGACAGT